TGCATTCCTGCAGTTAATGCTGTGTCATCTTTTTTAAATCTTCCAGCCTCGATTGTCACTCTATATATCCACAATGTTAATCTTAACATGCATCACATAATGATTTAGAATTTAACAATTTAAACATAAACCTATGTCAGTAATCCACATAGTCATAGCTAGATATTTCAAGCATTAGAACTTGACTTCCATACCAGTTTGCTTAGTTTGTACCTCATATTTGGACCACATATTCATATTGATCAGTGGTAGGCAATCTTTTGAAAGCATTGTACCAAAGAAAAACTTTGAAGACACTTAGAGTACCAACACTGTTTGTTGAAGGTAACTTTTATGCATAGAGTAACAATAATAAGCTAAAACAAGGAAAACTATTTTTTTTAATTAACTCTATCCCATTGATCAAGAATCCTCTGGTCAAATAAAGCCCAATGTTGAAGTTAATTCAAGTTATAGTCCATATAGAATATACACATTATTAATTAGCATTTAAAATCAGACTTCCGATGTATCCGATGCACAGACCTACTTCTGGAAGTAGATGGGTTGATCTCTGTGTGTGCAGCATTTCAAAGTTAAATGTTGTACATCTAGACTTCAGGCAGTAGGACTACGTCAAATAAATAAAGTAGTCATGGTGCTTGGAGTAATTCTTTAGGTGTATAGTTGGTATTGTGTGTGTGTGAGTATATAGAGTATGGAGAGAATTGCGGCATTGCATGTAAGTATATGTGGGATATTTAAGGAGTTGTGTGTGGGCTCTTAGTAGTATTGTGTGTATGTGTTTATGGGTTGCTTGTTCTATGTTTGTGTTCATGCTGTTTGTGATACATGTGTGTGTGTGGGGCTGTCTTTGGTGTTATGTGCATTTATGTGGACTGTTTGTAGTATTGTGTGTGAGTGGATTGCCTGTTGTGTTATATATGTATAATTGATGTCTGTGTTGTGAATATGTGGTCTTGTGTGTATTCAGGGACTGTCTGTAATGTAAATGGGTAGAGGTGGTTGACAGATCGGGATAATGACCACAAGTGGAATGGGGAAAAAGCAACGAGGTTGGAAAATCCCTCAATTGTGTTAAGGCAGGTATACCACAACATTCAAATCAAAGTTAAATAGTATCACATTTTAGGTGATTCCATCAAGAAGAATGAAAAAGTTGTAACTGAAAGTTTGGTTGTAGCTTAAATAATATAATAGAATTATTACACAGAAAGTATGCATATACTAAAATATTAAGCAGTGAGGTCAATATGAACATATTGAACAATGTGACAGCATATATTATTTGAGCAAACATGCTCACTTGGCAAGAAGAATTCATTGTTAACCAATCGTTTATCATAATATCAGCTTCTATTCTATTAGCTGTACAGAGGTGGTACATCTCAGAATAAAGTGCAATGAAAAAAATGAAGAACACAAATGATAATGTATTATGCTTAATTCAAGACAAGTTTACTTTGCTGTGCCAGGTTTTTGCCCACCTTATGTGCAATCATAGTAAAAGAATTTCCAGAATAGTTTAGGCATCTTGGAGAGTTTCATAGTTTTCCACTACATGTTTTTGGCTTTTACAAGTCAAGCTTTGTGCTAAATTAACCAGCAAAGTAGAAGTACTAGAACCTGTTTCTATACCATAATCTGTTCCAATTACTGCTTAAGGGGTCTTTACAGCCATTCCTTGTACATGTGATACAGAGAGATCTTTCTTACTGTAAATCTCCAACCAGTAAATCATTCCTCACTAGCCTACGATGGAAAAGGAGACACTATACAGCTAGGGGAAAAAAAGAACCTATAAAAGATGTGCCCTGTATTAACAGCCAGGAAAAATATAATGAAATTGTACACGTGTATCTATCTTTTTATGGAAAATAAATACATGTTAAATTTGATCGAAGTCCAATAATTACATGCAAAAGTTTTACAGTCACTACCCTAAGGGCCTGGTTCATATATAGTCACATACAAAGTAAGAATCTTGTGCAGTTCCAGCCAACCAATTAAAACTTTATTTAATATGATAAAAAAAGAAAGAAACGCTGACTTTGCTAGAAGCCTGGCTTTCACTGTCTAGGTTTAAGGGGACTCAAACCTTATCGTCTCTAATTAAACCAATTTGGTCATTTATTTGGTTGGTCAAAGCACCAGAGTAAAACAGAACAGTTGATGCACTAGATAAATTTGACCTTTTTATTGGTTTCTATGGTGTTCATTGTAAAATCAATAAACCTTTAATATTACAGAAAATGTATTACAAACGTATTGAGTCACACACCTTTGCATCTAACCAGCACCACTTTGAATGCCATTGATCATATTGCTAGAGGAAATGTTATAGCAGTGTTATAGATTCCAACATTCACAGCGCATGGATTCTTTTGTTGCATTCACAGATACATGCCCTCTAATTGCCTTTTTATTTTGACAACTGAATGTATTTTTGTTAAATATTAAGTAAACCAATGCCTCATCTAGAAGTACTTACATGCCGAGGCAAAGCTAGTGCTAAACTTAGTGACATGATACCTGTGACTGGACGATTTGTATTTACATTCTAGAATTTGATAGGGAATTTGGCTTGCTGTAACTAGCTTGAAACTCTTCTCATGTTCTCCTATCGTTTTGAAGCCACCTTTTGCACGCATTAAAAAAAGAGAGAGAAAATGTTTTAAAATAAAGTGTTGGTTTGATTTAATTGAAGAGTAATAGCTTGTTTTGGCAGGAAAATGAAAACATGTGAACCGTAAAAAGAAATAAATTGTATTATTATTGTGAAATAATTATAGCTCCATGAAAGCTAAAGATTTGGATGGAGTACAAATATGCAGAGAACAGAAATAAGGAGAATAAGAGGAAATAGCTGAGATAGATTCATGTTGTTCACTGTCAAAACAAGATTACCTGGACCCAGGTGTTATGAATGGCATAAAACATTTTTATACTAATTATTCCATTTTCTATTTGCACAGTGTAATGGACCATGGGATTTACCACATGTGTCTCGGAGGATGCAGCAAAGACAAGACCAGTAACAGCCCCCATTTGCCATTGTTTAAAGTCGACAACTTGAAAATTACACAAAAATAGATGAACTGAAAACATTCACTAGCTCATCTGAGTAGGGATGTTTTCCAACTTTGATATATAAAGCTCACATTTTATTGAACAGACCTCAAAGTGTCTTTATCCCCAAATAGGTGCTCTGTGCTGTAGAACCGAAATAAACTCCTTCTTGTCTGGTCTATTGCAAGGAACAGGAGTGAATGAAAAATATTCAGCAAGAAGAGTATCATAATGCCTCCAAAATGGCTCGACCCTTATGTTTTGCATTTTCTACTGTCAGCAATTATTTTTTCATACACTCAGGAACACTCATGCTAATTCTGATCTCTGCTCTTTATTGGTAATATTTGGCATACTTGTGCATGTGAACCAATATACTATATGAATTTAAACACTTCAAATCGATATACATAACTTTTTAACTATCCTGCATTATTTTCCCTTATAGCATGGCATAAAAGCAATGATCTTTTTTTTTTTTTTACCAGTACAACTCTAAGTAGTTTTCAGACAAGATATCAGATTGATTTGTATGGGCCAGAAAATAAACTTGTTTTGTTTATAGATCATGATAAATACAACTGTAAATATTGTATGCTTTATATTGCAGATTATCCCATTTTTATAATACCATTATTTACAATAGCTGCTGAAATAGTTACCAGTTTTGTTCTTACTGTTAAGTGCTCCCTTTAGCTCTTACACTATACTTTTACTAAAGAAGGCCCTGTTAAAACGAGCTTACAATACATTAAACATTCACCCAGACACTACCCAAATATAAAGCCTACACTAACTAAAATAAACCTTTGAGGTTAAATTAGACAACTCCTGGAAGGAGCAGATTAAAACTGAGAACTTGGTTTGTGGAATATGCAAATTATTTTATAATATAATCTGCATTAACTATTTTGCTAACATACTGTGTTATGACTTATGTTGCTTAAAAAACAAACCAAAAATTGCACAAAGACTAAAACAACAAATATAAAGATGTATCTATGGAGCTTATGCACCGAGGAGGCATGTCTGTCACAGCATGTAATCAAGGAACAAGTCTTCCTACTTCATACACTAAACCAGGATTTGGTTTCTGTCATGAAACAGAACATTATTCACACACAGGGTTATTCAATATAGTGAAAATTCAAAATGAAATCAAATTGAATTTCAAATTTAAGCTAAAAGTTGACGAAAGCGTCAATAATATTTCCAGTTCATTTTCTTTGCTCTTTAATTTGAAATTCACTTTGAATTCACTTTGAATTCTCACTTTAGTGAATAACCCAGATAATAAATATTAATAGTAGACATGTATTGTAATGCTTGTTTCCTTTTTTTATTCCCCAACTTCTATCTCTATCTTTTTATATTTACCAAACTCCAATTTACCAGCTAGAAAGTACTTGCTTAATAGCTTTTAGATAATCCTTAACAAGCAGGATTTGGTAAATCTGCTCATTCGGGGCAAGCATGCCATGAGGAAATGAATATCTAAAGCTTAGCCTTGTAATTTCCCTGTAAAAAGCATGGATTAGTCATGGTAATCAGTTGTAATTGAGTTGATAGATGTAAAGTTGGGAAAGTGTTCAATCATTCATAGACATTTGTATTATAATAACCTTCCTCTCTCTCAGCCTTTACCATTATGATTATTAAATAAGGAAACAATTATTTTACAGTTACATTGTGTATATTCTGATGATGTTGCATATTCTGTAAAGATCCAGGAACAATCCAATCAAACCCACCATAACCAGTACAGCGAGCTGTAAGGTAAGATGCCAAACTGTTCTAAAATGGCTTGACTGCATACAATGGGAGAATTGCCAGGATCTCCCTGGTACCATTACCACTAGTGATGTCCCGAACTGATCGCCGAACGGTTCGCCACGGTTCGCCATGAACGGTTCGCCGAGGACTCCAGTCAGCAGACACATTCCAGCCAATCAGCAGCAGACCCTCCCTCCCAGACCCTCCCACCTCCTGGACAGCTCACTAAGAATGCAGCTTCAAAATGGATGCTGTCCAGGAGTTGGGAGGGTCTGGGAGGGTGGGTCTGCTGCTGATCGGCTGGAATGTGTCTGCTGACTGGAGTTCGTGGCGAACCATTCATGAACAGTTCGGCGAACAGTTCGGGACATCACTAATTACCACTACACTGCCCTGGACCATATTTTCTTACAATGTAAGCTCTAGTGAATAGAAGATCATTATATATGTGTATGATGTGTATGAAAAAAAACAAGTGGTGACTACTGAATATATATATGCGATCAACTGCCGAGGCATCAGTTATGATTGCGTGATACCAGTAGTAGCAAGTCAGTTGTGGTGTGCCAAAACCAACGAATGGGGTAGACTTGAAAAAGAGGTCTCACCTATTGAAAGAGTATAAACAAGAAAGACGTGGGTCGGTTATAGAGGTGGGTCAGGAGGAAACTGGGAGGAGTGAGTAGATATAGGCCGGCAATACACCCATCCCACAACTCCAGGCATCCTGCCTTACACACATACATATTCAATTTGAGCCTGGCACACACTCTCGCATCTCGTGCTGGCCTCAGTGCAAACTTCAATATCTATTCCAAGGAAAGTGCACTTGAGGGTACATCAATGTTTAGGTAATTGACCTAAACATTGATGTGTATCACCACTGCACAATAAAGGTATTTTGGTTGTGCTACAGAGACCTCTGAGTGCACTTCCCTTGGACTATAAATATATTTGCAAAAAAATATGTTCTCACCCCTCCTAGGTGGTATATTTATCCTCATTCTCTGGATTTTAGGAGTCTGAGGGTTTTGCACAGTATCTTAGCTATTCCCAGAACTTGACTAACTGACAACTGTATCTGTAATTGAAGTTGAACAAAATGGATTCTAGATCCTATCATTATTGTCTACAATTAATGCTGAAAGTTAGGCTTCCCTAATGGTGTGACCTTTAGTTTCAAATCATAATGGGAGATTTATCAAATTGTTCTGTTCTAAATATTGGTCTAAAGAACTAAAAGTGTGGCAATCAACCACCAGCCCAAAATATTGTATCTCTTCACTATTTTTTATAACAATGCAAATGATTTAGAAAGCTACATTTTTAAAACATAAAAAATAAACATGCACAATTTTTAGAAATATGGTTTTAATGCAAGTTTCAGAAAGGCAGATATTTCATACATTTTCCAAATTATGAAGTTCTCACCAGAAAAGGTAGTATTGTGGTATCAACAAATCCTTTGTTTGTTTGTTTGTTTGTTTGTTTTTTGCCAAACTACATAGAATAAAGTTGACTAAAACAAGAGTGATTTCATTTTTCTCTTTGAATATTGACCACTATAGTGAGCCACATCATTATAATGGCCCTGTAATTTACCAAACAAGCAATGCAAAGTTGGTAAAAATGGTGAAAATTAATCATTTATGAGGGTAAAATATTAATACTAAAGATGTTTGACTAGCCCACCTTTATCTTTTCATAATCTAGAATTCATACTCTATATCCCAGATATTTTCATGATTTACTTTGCCTGTTATCCACTTTATATCCTATATTTGCTTAAAGGGACACCCCTGGACCCATAGCAATTTCTTGAAAATTGATACATAACAAATTAAAAAGAAAGTGTTTTAGAAACCAAATAATCCTTGTCAAAAATGTACGTCCACCGAAAATTATATAAAACAAGAACAAAAATATACAAATGTGTTATGCTTTGTGATGGACAGGTAACAGTAACAGCCGAAATTCTCACGGCTGTGTGTGTTAAGAGGGTGAGAGATTAAGTTCATTTTTCCCTCTCTTTTATGTTACCTGTTTAGCTGTGTTTTAAAACATGTAATTGGAGCTGAGACCTCGAGTTTAATCTCTCCCTGAGGCCAAGCTTAATATCTCCTTCATTTGTTGTTCTTCCTTCTGTAATTCTTCATTGCATTATCCGCAAATTAGCTCTTTCTCTTCCCTTTTTCTGTACATTTTATCCTTTTATCATACCTATGCTTGTGCTACTGACCCATGAACAAATACATTTGGACAAGTGGAGCTTTAAAATTTTACACTTGTTAAGGCAAAATTCCACTTTGTTTAATTTACTGCAAGCAATTGGTGAGAACCATATACACAGAGTATATGGCATGTTAATCATGTCATGCTTTTTGTAAAAAAAAAAAAATTTATGTACTGTAAATCTCAGATGATTTTTATTTCATTTAACATCATCCATAAAACACAAACCAGATATGAATTTCAGAACTTGGTGCATGTTTTTTTTTTCCAACTCTTTGTATTTTAAATATACCCGCACATAGTATTATAAGCAATGTGCATTTGAGTGAAACCTTTAACTGCGCATAAGGGTCCAATCATTTTGTGCTAGTTTAGGGCTTGTGTACAGTTCCATTCCAGTTAGTTTACATATTAATCTCTTCACTCCCAGGATTTGTTTGGCTGAAGGCAATCAAATCTCACATTGATAATAGATGGGGCCTCCAATGCACCAGTATTGGATGCAGTTAGTCCCTATTCTATTTGAGGCTTCTGCTTTCTGAATAGACTGGGTGGATCAAGTTTAATTTTTTACATTATGCTAGTTAATGTTGTAGTTAGTAGTGTTCAGAAGCTATTCTGTAGCCAGTCGCCTAAGAAAACGCAGAACTTCTTATACTTGACTTTCCCTTGACTCCATTAGTCGGATGACCCTCAGGTATGAAATCCTGGACCCTTGAAGTGTACTGAGTTTCACTGTTACATAGTTATTTACTAAAGAGATAATCCAAAGAGAATTTCACATTTAAAGACAAAATATTCAAACGGGAAAAATTCTCTAAATCAAGTATGCCTACAGTTCAGCTGTGTTGACCTTAAATTTAAAATTCACCTAAATTCTCACTTTTGTGAAAAGCCCTGTCAGGCTAACGTGTTAATTCCTTTGTATAAATACATGGCACCTCTTATTTTCCAGAACACAATACAAAAAGACTGTGAGGCATATTAAGCATCCTGTAAGGACAGACTGCTAGGCGCCATAATGACCCTGCCCTGGTTTGCAAAGGATTTATGGTGCAAACATGAGGAGAAATATACTTATACTTAGTATGAATGTCAACATGCTCTGTCTGTTGAAGGAATAGAAAAGTATTGCTCATGCTAACTGTTGCATTCTCAACTACTGTAACATATTTGTCTCAGTTCACTGGCTTCCTTAGTGTGAGCTGAAAGACTATTCTCATTACCTCATGCAGGTATATTTTAGGATAACCACACCATCAGTGTTCTTGTTTTTGAAACGCTTTTTAAACACTTTGTTGCATATCTAAAACAAATACTGATGTTTACACTTTCTTCTGAAGATGAAATATGTGCTGAAGTCTGTTGATACGCCTGTACTGTTAAGTACAAACTGACATCTTGCTTGTACTCTGCAACAGCAATATTTTACTAGCAAGTACGAAGAAACAAATGTCACTGCTGGAAATATGATATTAATGAACCTCAAACAGGGTTTCCTGGCTACTGAAAGATTTATATATAACAAGATAACTTCTACATTTTAGATCATTGATGACCGTGAGTTCTGTCATGAATGTCTGGGCCTTAATGGTAAACTCAGAGTACCATAACCCCTACAGGGGTGTAGTGGCTACATTAACAGGAGTCCCCTGCTGTCCCAGCCCTCCCCATTGTAAGTTGTCAAATGATTAATACCTGGGGTATTTTCTGCACCACTTCTCACTTCTATTAGACTTACTGGAGAGCTGGAAGCTCTTGCTTAGGAGCTGTGTGCAATGTGCATTTAACTGAAACCTTTAACTGCATATAAGGGCCCAATCATTTTGTGCTCGTTTAGTTCTTGTGTACAGTTCCATTCCAGTTAGTTTACATATTACCCTTTTTACTCCCAGGATTTTTTGGGGCAGAAGACAATCAAATCCCACATTGATAGTAGATGGGGCCTCCAATGCACCAGTATTGGATGCAATCAGTCCCTATTCTATTTGAGGCTTCTTCTTTCTGAATGTTCATTGATGACTGGGATGCTATAAATGTACAGGAATCATTGTGGATAAGAGTACTATACAGGAAATATTAAATATATAATTAACCCTGCAGAAGAAACTTGCATGCTAGCCTATCCACCCACTATCCACCCATTTTGAGGGAAATCGCCATCCAGCCCAGAAACGTTAAACTATTCAGATCACATAAGTAAGCGGCAATGTGTATTTAACAGATTAATTACAAGGAGATAGTAAAAGAAAAAACAACACAAATTGGACATTGGGTCTTTAAGATTTAACTCTGTGGAGCACAAACCAATGTGGACAACAAAGGGTTAACAGTATGTGGGACTTGTACACTTTGCATTTGATGTGGCAGGACTGAAAGAGTTAAGTAGCCATTAGCCATTTGTCCAGCTTAGCTTAAAGTATGCCTAGCACGGTGATTGGTCCCCACTGTGTCACTGCAGTCTCCCATCAGGTCCACTCACTGTTTTACATGTTTGTCACATTATTATTATTATTATTGCCATTTATATGGCATCTACAGATTCCTTAGCGCTATACAATATTATGAGAGGGGGGATTGAACTATAAATAGGACAATTACAAGAAAACTTACAGAAACGATAGGTTGAAGAGGACCCTGCTCAAACAAGCTTACAGTCTATAGAACATCACATCTTTATGTAACGCTGTGTACTGTATAAATACACTGCCTGTTGTTCAATAAATTAAAACTATTTTGTCTCTGCACTCAATCTTGTCTGTTTGAGTACAAAGTGGGAAGAGCAAGTTATTCAGTATCTGAACAATTTCAATGAGGAAGCTTAGCCATATGGTACCAGGTGGCTGTGGTAGCTCCTGGAGGTGCATGTTGGCATGGAGAAGGGCAAGATACACTAGCAGGTTCAGCTCTGGCTTCAAAGTCAGGGACCAGCCACCATTTTATCCTAATATATCCCAACTCTTGACAATTTCCAGTGGTCAACAATGCTGCACTCTCTCCAATATCACAAGTGCATTGCCTCTGAGTGATACTGCACTCCACTCTCCCCTGTACATCTCATATTCAACAGGCCCTTAAATCCT